CATACATACATACATACATATATACATACACATACACACCCCATGAGCGGCTCGTGGTGTGCGTGGTTGTTGGCCTGTGCCTGGGTGGGCGTGGCTGTGTTTGTTAGCATGGTGCATATCTCTTCTGGAATGGAGGGTGTCTCTCCTCTGTCCTGCGGATCGGCTATTAGATACCCCGCTATGAGGATCAGCTGGTGCAGCGCGCCTAAAATGGGTAGACCCTAATATGGTAATACGGGGGATAGGGTTGAGGAGAGAGTGGTGTTCAGAGGTTTAGGGTTTGATGGCGTAGAATTGTAGGCATGAATAGGACCAGAGATGGCAATTTAGGGTCTAGGGTTTATAGTGTACCATAAAAGATGAATCCATAATTTGCGCAGTGACCGAATCAGTGTGTCAGACTATTCGTGAACGAAACTTTTACCTACCTAGGTACGATACTCTCAACTACGTCTAGGACCTTTACCGTTACCAAATGAATAATATATTAACACCAGTCACACACTCACCAAACTATGAGGGACAAAGCGGAGACCCACAGGAGAACTACTTAAGAGTATTGGCACGTGTCAACACGTGCGTTAGAGTATCAGGAAGGGATGGGGAGATGGTCATAAATGGAGCGGAGACCATACTCAGTCAAGTTCTTAAGACTAAACCCAGTCAAGTGTCTGCCAACGACGAATGGATATACCTACCGCGCTCTCTCGGTAAAGGCGCATACGCCAGCTACCTTGGGTTTTTACTTTTTAGGGTTCTGGGTGTCCATGCGGGTGGGTTGGGTGGGCCTAGTGTGCCCATGCATGAAACTAAAACGCACTAACACATGAATGACATCAGACCAACCACTACACTCATGTACAGCCCATGTATCTGACGAGACGAAATACCACACCCAAATGTGCACGCACACGCTTGCGACATGTGACACTTGACATGTGACACATGGCACTTGACGCTTGACACTCTGCTTGTTCTTACCTCTGTCGTGGTGCGTAGGGCCACCACCTTGGCCTGGATTTCTTTTGAGACCAATTCAATAGATTCGGCGGGTGTTAACCTCGCCAAGGCTGCCATATTTAGGTTCTGACTGTCCATATTTAGAACGTCATCTGAATGGTGGGATTGGTATAAGTCGAAGGATATAGCCGTCAGTGTTCGCCATCATGAATGGTTTAGGGTATTACGGTCTTAGGGGTTTAAAGGTTGAATATCGAACTGAGTATGCCGAGTACAAGTCTGAGTGCCTGCGTTAGGGTTTAGGGGTTCAGAGTTTAAGGTTTTAGGGCGTTTCCGAGTGCCTGTGCATTTCTACATGATTTTTGAGGAACTTAGCGCCACGTCGGTTTATGTTGTGACGAATTCATCCGAGCGTTCCGTACTGAATCTAGAGGCCTTATCTGGCAGTAGGACACTTAGCAGTTATTTCTTGGCACTTGACACATGACAGCCGTCGCTTGTCGTTTGGCAGTTGACACTTGACACTTGACATATGACGCCCGCATACTTTCTTCCTCAAAGTACTCCTCATCGGCATCTTCCAGTGTGGCCTTCATTTCACTCTCCACCCGTGCCGCCACAAATGTTCGGAAGATCTCATTGGTCCATTTAAACACGGAATGTGTGGGGAATTGTTGATCGCTCACTAGGGTCACCCATGCATCTAGCAACTGCAGAACAAGGGTACGAGTGAGTAATGTGCCAAACCATAGGAGCGTACCACACCGATGTTCGGATGGTTTGATTGGTTCATTTTAACACGAAATGTGAGAGGAATTGTTGATCGCTCACTAGGGTCACCCACGCATCTAGCAACTGTAGAACAGGGGTACGAGTGAGTAATGTGCCAAACCATAGGAGCGTACCACACCGATGTTCGGATAATTTGATTGGTTCATTTTAACACGGAATGTGTGGGGAATTGTTGATCGCTCACTAGGGTCACCCACGCATCTAGCAACTGTAGAACAGGGGTACGAGTGAGTAGCGTGCCACACCGATGCTCTGACGATTTGACTGGTTCATTTTAACACGGTATATCTAAAGAACTGCCGACCGACTCACCGGGGTCACTTATACGTCCAGCGTACCTTAGGTATGGGGTATGGCCATTGAATGAAAGTTTAGGAATTAGTAAACCCTAGGGCTATGTGAATGCACTACACGGACACTGGTTGTTCTGAGTGGTCTATCTGACTGTGCGAAGATTTCTATGACTACTATTACAGGTCCACTGAGTTTGTCTTTCCATCCAGTAGTCAGACAAAACTCTAAATCCTCAAACCTAAAAAACCCTAAAAACATTTGCCAGCAAGAAGTCATAGATGGTTTTAAGGGATTTTTTAGAACTCCAGCGATGGCTTTGAATCTTCGAACGGGACCCATATAGAGAAGTCACAGTGCGTTCGACAATAAACGTTAACGATAAACGTATACACACTCTCACCCGAGAGGGATGTTGAGAATAGACGTACAGATAAACCGTTCACAATATATGCACTAAAAGATCAATATCGAAATGAACGGGAAAAACAAACGTATATGTATTCAATAGTGATACGTTCACATACAGGAACACACATAGGCGCAGTACTCTCCACAACAAATGCCACAACAATGAAGTGCTTGTGATATATATATACATATATATATATTTATATATATATATATATATACTACCCTAACCAAATAAAGTACGAATAAATGAAGCAGCCAAGCCGTGTACATAGTAAACCCTGTGATACGTACCAAGTCAAAGGCCTCTATGTTGTAGTTCTCCCCAAACGATTCGGTTTGTGCTCTATGCAGACACGCTGTACTCAGCTGAGCCATAAGTGGCAGCAACGGCTCCAGGGCAGGTACAAAACCATACACCCCGAATTTACTGCAAGGAGAGTACAGGATATAAAGTATGAGATATGTGAAACATAAATGTATATATAAATATATATATATACATATATATATATAACGGATGTGTGTACACATGTCAGCATACATAGGTACTTAAGCAGTTCTATCAGTGACATCAACTTCACCAGGGTATAAACAAGCCGCACACACTGAAAGCAGAACAAAGGATTTGGATAGTTAATGGTCACAACGTCAAGTATGGATTGTATACGTCGTGTTTTTAATCTGTACACGCGCATACAGGACAATTACAAAGGAGAATCACTCAAACACACCGTTCAGTTGAACGGGGCTATACCTTGGATATATGTTTAGTTTAAGAGGCGGTGATGCGGCTTGCGGCATGATTCACAGTCAATACTACCAAGCCAACTATCACCCACCCGCACATACTAGACAAATAAAGAGGAGTATAAAACACCCACAGGAAACGGTATCCTCGTATGGCGGTGGTAGCAGGCATATAGACGGAAATTTAATATTTTCGTTGCAAATAGGACTATATTTCATTGTCACAACACATCATATATGGGACAAAGTAAGACAAGCTGGCCACTCCATAGTCACACATCGTGTAGTAGACAATAAACAGGAACGCGGAACATTCAGGCACAGCCATACCTGGCTATATCAATAGTCTCAAAGGTTAAGAAGCACGTGGCTAGGCGACTCACAGTCATGGCTATATATCAATCTCACTCTCACATAGTTGACAATAAAGGAGGAACGGGTCACACAGACACACAGCTATACCTGGCTATATCAATGGTTTCAAAGGTGAAGAAGCACGTGGCCAGACGACTCACAGTCATGGCTATGGCGAACATCTGAGGGCCGTCTGTCTCTACGTTGTTACTCTCACCCGTATGTAGTCCAGACGCCTCGATCCAATCCACCAACAGCTCAGTAAACAAGCGGTAGTATCTAGAGAGAAAGTAGGGACATGAGAAGACCGTGAGTGCTAGGACATCAACACTCGCAGGTGAGTACACACAGTTATGGTATGGGCATGAGAAGACCGTGAGTGATCTGCCATAGGGTTTGAGGCGATTGGTAACTGAAACTTGGCAGTCGCAGGATAGTCATATACTTATGATTTATATGGATAGAAACATACTCAGACACTCCACAAAAGAAAAAAATCATACATATATATAATGTATATGTGTATGC